GGGGGGGGGGGAATTTTGATTGTCACTACTCATTTACTTACTCCATTATGGAGTTTGAACAAGCATCAATTTAAGTGGTGATGAATTGAAGCTATCCCATATTGGATAGTTTTAGAGAGTGCGTGTGTGTGGGTTATATGGAGGTTACATCACTTCTGCTTTTAATTAGAAATGTTATAATTCTCCTGGTGGTCTCGTTTGTGACAGGAAATAGTTTGTTTGGAAACAAGTTTAAGTTATTAATGTAGTAGATATGAGACTGGTTTATCACCAATCAAAACGGAGGAAAGTGCGGCATTATTGAGGAGGTCTTCTTGTTAATTTGACCAAACCTTGTAGATATGGATGTAATTTACCCTAAGACCTCCGGGTGAAGGTACTGCTTGCCTTTGTCACGTGCAACTAGCTATTCTCCTAGAAAGGATATAAAGTAGGGGAATACATTTTTTATTATTTAATGATGAAAAATAGAAATGATATATTTTTTTTTTTTGTATTTAGTTAGATGGACGGGGAATAATTTTTTTTTTTTTTTGTTGGCTAAGATTAGAGGTGACAATCGAGTCGTGTCGTGTCAGATTCGTGTTAAGTCATTACGGATTTATGTCGAATATTTTTCAAACTTAACTTAACTCATTTAATTAATTGTGTCATGTCAAATTGTGAATTGACCTTTTTATTTTCGTATCAAATTCGAATCGTGTTAAGTTGAAAATTTTTATCCTTAACTAAAATGAAAAGAATATTTTTTTTAATTAAGATTTTAAATTTTAAATTTTTTTAATATATATAATATATACATATTTTATTATTATATTTTTTATATAAAATTAATATATATATATATAAAATATATATACATAAATAAAATACATCTTAATGTAATAATTAACATTTCATTCACTTTTTTTTCGATTTAAAAAAAATTAATTTTAATAATTTAGAAAAAAAATTAATTTATTAACTTTTCCATCCTTTTAACTTTTCTTTTTTATCAAATATCATATTTTATTTATCCATCCAATTTTCCGTTCTTCTAACTTTTCATTCCCAACTTTTTTATCGTCCCGCACGGAACATTAGATCCGTGAAAAGGAACAGACAACAATATCACTTTGACACCACAGCGTCATTTACAGTCTTAAGACGGCACCACCACTTCCCCCCGTATGTAACCGCTATCAACCCACCGTCCTCCTCCGTTGCGTCTACCCGAAGCCTTTTCTCTCTCATCTCTCATCCCATATCCTCCTAAAGCCTCCACCTTGCAAAACCGTCTCTGCAAAGAACTCCATTGATTTCCATCTTCTTCAAATCAGATTCAATCTTAGAGACCTACTTGAATGGCGGAAAATGATTCAGAAGCAATCATTTATCTTCATGGAGACCTCGATCTGACAATTCTCGAAGCTCGATGTTTACCAAACATGGACATGGTGTCGGAGCGCCTCCGTCGCTGCTTCGCCCCCTTCGATGACTGTCGGAAACCATTCTCCAACGACCAACGGCAAAGCCGTCGCCGCTCCCACAAGATCATCACCAGTGACCCTTACGTCAAAGTGTGTCTCGCCGGAGCAACGGTGGCTCGGACGCGTGTCATTGCCAATTCTCAAAATCCTGCCTGGAACGAACACTTCAAACTCCCTTTGGCTCATCCCGCATCGCAAATCATGTTCGAAGTTAAAGACAACGACATGTTTGGCGCTGATTCCATCGGAGTCGCCAAAGTCTCCGCTCAGAAAATAAAATCAGGCGAGCTTATTGACGATTGGTTTCCGGTAATCGGACAGTCCAATAAACCGCCAAAGCCCGACTGCGCGATCCATTTACAGATGAAATTCACACGATGCGAAGAAAATCCGGTGTACCGGCAAGGCATTGGGGCTGATGTGGATCAGTTTGGACTAAAAGAGAGTTATTTTCCGGTTAGACATGGAGGCTCAGTTACACTGTATCAGGATGCCCATGTTCCTGATGGTATGCTTCCGGAGATTGAATTGGATGAGAAAAGAGTGTTTAGGCATGAGAATTGTTGGGAAGATATATGTCATGCTATACTAGAGGCTCATCATTTGGTGTATATAGTTGGGTGGTCTATCTATCATAAAGTGAAGCTGGTTAGAGAACAGAGTAAACCGTTGCCTAGCGGTGGGGATTTGAATTTGGGGGATTTGCTCAAGTATAAATCACAGGAAGGGGTGCGAGTCTTGTTGTTGGTTTGGGACGATAAGACTTCTCACAACAAGTTCTACATTAAAACGGTACACATTTCAATCTTTGTTATGTTCAAATGGTAAGCTATATTTTTGTTAATTGAAGTCATGAATAGCATTAAGTGAATTAAACATTCTCTGTTTAGTTGGAATACAATTATAGAACGGTTACTTCATTGTAACATTGCTATTATTTTGTTGGGCATTGTTTGAGTAACAATTGTGTTGTTGTGATTATTTTGCTATTCCTGGTTTGGTGTTCACATATTAATTGAGGTCCACAAGATGAATAGGGTATGGTAATATGTTTGGTGGGCACCGGGGGTAAACAAGAACACAAAGTACTCTGTGAAATTTGTACCTCCATTAGTTGTAGTACAACCTAGGGGTTCTCTGTCGATGCAGAAGTACAATATCTATTCCTACTTGTTCCCTCTCACCCTCCAGACACTTGAAGTAAATGCAAGTGTGACACTAAAAAATCAGAAGCCATATTTATAGTAAGCAATCATTCAAAAGCATTAAAATGACGTATCTCTGACAAATTGTAAGTAGCATCTTCTAGCTGTAACAAAAATATTGTGCAGCTGTAGTTTAGAACAATTGTAAAGGTATTTTGCGATTATGGTCGGAAACCAATCCAGTATCTAGCTTGCATTCATGGAGTTTTATATTATTCATTTTTTATTGTACCAATCATTGGGATAGTTGGTGGTGTCTTTGGCAGCCTTTTTGTACGTACAAGTTTGATTTATACAGTTCTGTATGCATAATTCATTTCAACAATATCATCCTTCTTTTATAAGAGATTTCTTCAAGCTGTCATGAGTTTTGGCTGAAGTTAGTTACTTTGACTGTTGTTGTTATTGGGCTTTCTGTGCAGGACGGAGTGATGCAAACTCATGATGAAGAAACTCGGAAGTTCTTCAAGCACTCATCTGTCACTTGTGTGTTGGCGCCTCGATATGCAAGCAGTAAACTTAGCATTTTCAAGCAACAGGCATGATTTATACTGTGGTCCAGTAATTTTTATTTTTTCCAACATTTTTGATATCATGACATAGATAAATGCCTGCTTTAAAGAGTATAAACACTTCAGGAGATATCATTGTCTACAGTATGCTGTCAGATGTCACTCCAAAACCCTGTTCAAGTCTTCTTAGAAGCTTGAACATATTTCCAGTTATTGCCAGCTCTTCCCCTAACCTGTGTAGTTTTCTCAATATTCAACTAAGACCAAATACTCCTTGAAGTACAACTATGATTAGGTTGTTTCCCGTTGTCTTTATTGATTTGATCAACTTTTCAAGTTTCAAAAATCTGTTTAACTGCAAGTTGTGAAATACCTAAAAGAACTACTTTGTGTCTGTGTGTATTTGCGTATGTATGTTTATGCGTGCGGGCAAAAGGTGTTTGTTAATGCACAAAAAGCTAGAAATGCATAAGTGAAATTAGAACTGAAAGTGAAACCCAACATAGGATGCAAACAGCAACCTAAAACTGTGAATTAATTATATTGTGACTGTGTACAAAACAGGAACAAAAATTGAAAAATGGGTTCCTTATCACCCCAATGTCTAAGCTAAGGAACCCTGAGCACTAAATGGAAGTATATTATCAGCACAAAGTGTGAATATACTGATCTGCTTTGTAGTCCTTATTTCATACCTGCAACCAAATTATACAATTCATATAAGACATCTTTTCATTAAACCGATCAATTAGCTGATTTTCTGTTATGATTGCATTTGACAACAGGTTGTTGGAACACTATATACACACCATCAGAAGTGTGTGCTTGTGGATACACAAGCCTATGGAAATAACCGAAAGATATCTGCTTTTATTGGTGGTCTAGACCTATGTGATGGACGCTACGATACACCTGAGCATCGACTATTTCGTGACTTGAACACTGTCTTTCAGGATGATTATCATAATCCAACATTCTCTGTATGTTTGTGATCTATCTGAGCTTCTATTTTTCCTTCATGGTTTGCTCGTTAATCAATACTGCATAGAAATAAACTGAGTTGCAATATTTACGTTGTTGTGGACTAGCAGTTCATTGGGCTGGGGTTTTTGATTTGATTTTGTCCAACCAGTTTTTTGAAAACTTAATTCACAGATTAAGGAAGGGGAACTGCAGCTTTTACCTCCTGACTGGCAAAATCTGTATCGTAATTTATTTGTTCTACGTATTTGAACAGTATATGCTAGAAACTAACAAACTCTAACCTGAATTGGCTATCCTCTTTATACCATCTATATACTGCCAGTGACATGTAAAGTAATATTCTGGAATCTGGATGTACTTTGTTAATGATGTCATCACCTTAACTTGGTTTGAGCCATTACTTTTGTTGACCTGATGCTATGTCCTCCCTACTATTGGCAACATTATGCTTAAGCTATTGGCACTTTCAGGCTGGTATATGATCTCTCATATTTATAGGCAGGAACAAAGGGTCCAAGACAACCATGGCATGATCTACATTGCAAAATTGAAGGTCCTGCTGCGTATGATGTGCTCACAAACTTTGAGCAGAGGTGGAGAAAAGCCACAAAATGGTCAGAGTTTGGACTACGTTTCAAACGTGTAACACATTGGCATGATGACGCTCTACTTAAGATAGAGCGCATTTCATGGATACTTAGTCCTTCTCCATCTATTCCAACAGATGATCCCTTACTGTGGGTTTCCAAGGAAGACAATCCTGAAAACTGGCATGTTCAGGTTTCTTAGTATCCTCTTACTAGTGATTCCGGAAGCAGCACTAATGTTATTGGATTTCTGGAAGCATTACTGAATGTTGGTGGGTTGTTCTATTTTTGACAGGTTTTCCGATCTATTGATTCAGGCTCTTTGAAAGGATTTCCCAAGGATGTTCAATCAACTGAGGCTCAGGTTTCTTCGCCATTTTTTTCATTTTGTTTTTTTAAATTCCGTATCAATTAGAATTACAATGCATCTAGTATCAACTGTTAAGTTAGCCTGCTGTCCCCACCAATGGTGGTGGTCAAGTGGCTCTGCGTCACTCCCACAGGGTTTGGACTTTGGAGGGACCAAGGTCAGTGGTTTGACTCTTGGGGGGCGATGCTAACTTATTACATGACCTGTGCCATGAACTCCTACTGGTATCTTGGTGAGGTATCACTTCAACTGCTGTCGGGCCAGTAGGATGAAAAAGGCTTGCAACAAGGCCCTGGTTGCGACCAGTTCGCATACAGGGCTACCACTTGAACATCTCCATTCCTCTACCTTTGCTGTCTGGCAAAAAAAAGAAAATTAGCAAATTAGCGCACAAACACTATTAAATTGATTGTTTCCAGCTTGGTGATTGGATGAGTAAGTGAGATTCCTTTTTATTGCAGCACCTAGTCTGTGCAAAAAATCTGGTGATTGATATGAGCATTCAAAAAGCATACATTCATGCTATAAGATCCGCCCAACACTTCATATATATTGAGAATCAGTATTTTCTGGGGTCATCGTATGCGTGGCCTTCCTATAAAAATGCAGGTATGAGAAACACTCTAGAAAGGAGGCATATAAACTTTACATTGTGCAGCCAACATTCAGTGCTTAATTAAATTTCTGTGCTGTTAAAACATTTTCAAGTAGCGTTGAATATTGATGGCCTCAATTTGCATTTGGATCATTTAATTCATACATGTAGATTATCTTTCCTGAACGCTGTATAGTTCCTGTCATGACTGTGTTACCCAAATTTCTCATATGCATCCTTCCCACTCCAAACCTTCCATCTCCCTTGGTTCTTGTACCTGTTTCGTGAAATCATTCTCTTTTCCTATGATTAGGAGCTGATAATCTAATCCCGATAGAGCTGGCATTAAAGATTGCTAGTAAGATTAGAGCAAAGGAGAGATTTGCAGTTTATGTTGTCATCCCAATGTGGCCTGAGGGCGTCCCAACTTCTGCCACTGTGCAGGAAATTCTTTTCTGGCAGGTAATATGGCATACATATTCTCAATGTTTTTTTGTTGGTACACATAAGACTGCTACCAGTGCAGTGTGGCTGGCTGGGTGCTTTTCTGAGGCAGTACAAGCTGAATACATCCGATATGAGTCTGAAAAAGTTAAAATATATCTCGTTCTGATTTTCTGCTGTAGCAGGGTAGTGTGATTGTAGTTTTTTGATAGTGCTTTTTCAGAATAAGCACTAACGAAGGATTGAGGCTCTTTAGTTTGCTAGCACTAATTTATCGAAGTTTGGCCGGGTACACCGACTCTTTAAATCAGTTCTAGCTATGATCACAATTTCCGTACAGGTCGAATATCACATTTCTATATGGGAAGCCGAATTTTATTCATGTGATAATAGTAAAATGTAGTATAAGCTTAACTTTTGCATGTTCCCTTTTGCAGGGACAAACAATGCAAATGATGTATGAAATTATTGCTAAAGAACTGAAATCCGCGCATATTGAGAACTCACATCCAAGTGACTACCTGAATTTCTACTGTCTTGGTAATCGGGAAGAATGCCATAAAGAAAAGTCCAATTCAACCACTCAGCCTTCAACTAATGGTGATACGGTAGGCATGCCTCCCTTAACAAATGCAGGCTTTGAAGAAGATTAAAGTTTTGCTTCTATAACTTTTTTTTTTGTTGTTGGGGTTCATTTGTTTAGCTTGAGAAGTAGTGCTAAAATGTGTAGGCAAAACAAATCTAGAAAAATGCATGGCCTTCATATCTCTTCCTCTTGACTCGTGTTGGAATTTCGTTTTTTATTCTATTTAGTTCGTCATCGTGGTATTACTCTAATGCGCTCAAACCTGGTAGAGTCAGTAGACAGGCCTATAAACTATACCAGATACCCTACCTTCTTAAACGGTCAATACATATCTTCCTCTATAGTTTCTGAGATGGAACTATCCAATTTGAGTACTTCCACTGCTCTGGTATTTTCTAGATTCATTTGCTGGTTAGCAGGGAATTGCATGTTCCAGAGTCTAAACCATGCTTTTGAGGGGTGCAAACCTCAAAAAGGTTCTTAAACACATGCTCTCATTGAATTCATTCAGCATGTCTTACAACGAAATATTGAATTCAAATGGTTATTCAGTTGAGTTTTGTATGTGACCATAGCCATAGTTGCTTTGTTTGTTTGTATTTTTTTGGGTCAAAAATAAACCCTGCTTTAAGAAATATCTTGAATCAAACTTTCAGGTTTTAGCTTCACAAAAATATGGACGGTTTATGATATATGTACATGCCAAGGGAATCATTGTGGATGATGAGTATGTGATATTGGGGTCTGCCAATATTAACCAGAGATCTATGGCTGGTTCAAGAGATACAGAGATCGCTATGGGTGCATATCAGCCCCATCACGCAAGGGCTAAGAACGAAAAACATCCACGTGGCCAAGTTAGTTTTTTCCATTCCCATGTTCAATGTTCTTTATAGATATTTTAACTGAAAATGTTGGCATCATATCATTTCAGTTGCCAATTACTGCAAATATTTTTCATGGTATTTGGTTATTTCAAAGTAGTTGATAATAAGTGTGATCAAACTGATTGTATGTGTTTGAAGGTATACGGATATAGAATGTCACTGTGGGCAGAGCACTTAGGAACGCTTGAAGATTGCTTCAAGCAGCCCGAAAGTTTAGTTTGTGTGGATGGTGTGAACAAGATTGCCCAAGAAAATTGGAAGAGATTCACAACTGATGAATTCACTTCATTGCAAGGCCATCTTCTCAAGTACCCGGTCGAAGTAGATGCCGATGGGAAGTTAAACCCCTTGCCTGGACATGAAAATTTCCCAGACGTTGGTGGCAAGGTGCTTGGTTGTCCGAGCGGTCTCCCAGATGCTTTGACTACATAGCCTCCACCAGGGTCTCGAACCACCTTCCCCGGCCCCTAGTGGCTTGACTCATTCCCGTTTCATATGCCCATAACTTTATATAAGTCTGCTTGGACACGAAGGAGGAACGGAAGATGATAATAATGTGCGGTGTGTGTATCTTGTACTTTAAAATTTCTTCTTGTATGGTATTCTTTTGGTTGGAAATACAAAGCGCTGTAAGAATTTTAAAATTAAACTGAGAATGTTGTAACGGTCACTTTGCCAACAATGCCAGCTCCCTGTTGAGGTGAACAGTAGAAAGAGTAAGTAGTAAGTGCCCTTTAAAGTCAAGGTCAGCCCTTTAAAGTCAAGGTCACCGGGTGAAGATCTCTCCAAACTCCAGCTGCATTGAGGAGGTCCTCGTCGTTCATGGAGATCTTCAATACGTCAATGCCAGCCAGAGCTTCGTCCTTGTCGAAAATAATATTGTGGGGGAAACCAGTATTGTTCTTGAAGACAATCTTCACTCCAGAAGCCACTGAAAAGCTGCCGGGAACGTAAGCTAGCTAGAGACCCGTCATCACCACCCAGCAATATCTCAATGGCCATGGCATATTGCTGGCAAGCATTGCCCTAGCAGCAGTGGCAACACAACTGCAACACCCACTTCTTTGAGTGAGGCCTTCATGCCAAGCCATGGGACCAGAGACGCAGCCACCTTAGCTGTGTGTGGTACTAACTCTTGAAGTGATCGCACTGGCATTCTTAAGGCCGGTGAAGGATGGGATGGCAACAGCAGCAGACACTAGCCATTGAAAGAGTTCAGTAATGCTAGTGCATTTCAATGTGTGCGTGTGTGGACCGAAATCGAGAGGTGGTTTTTTTATGGTATATTGTTTGGGTTTGTGGAGGGGTCAGTGATAAGATAATGAATTGCATTGTAAGGAGGATGGGTAGAGAAATGGTTCTGTTTGTGATGAAGAACAAATAATTAGTGCGAGACTAGGTTGAATTACTTACACTAATCCCAAAGTTAGTAGTGATACCTTGATCGCTTGATAAACGTCTTCTTCATATGCATAGGTGATTAAAAAAATCCCATGAGGTGTTTATCTCCTCCGAGCACTACTTATAGATTTATCTGTGTGGAGAGGCGATTCTTGCACAAGGTTCAACATTAGTTTAGTGTGTGAGGATAAATTGATTAACATCTCTAAGTCCGGGCTACCAAAGAATGGTGGGAGTGAGCAGTTCAAAATTATTTGATTTACAATAAGTAATATTAATTTGTCGTCCTGCATAGCAAAGGATTCCATGGCCCAATGGATAAGGCGCTGGTCTACGGAACCAGAGATTCTGGGTTCGATCCCCAGTGGAGTCGTCAATTGTTTTACTTTTTTCTTTTTGTTGCTCTGTCTGTTCTATAAATAAATAAGGGGAATCACACTTTGTAACTCCAAAGATTTAAAAAAAATTATTTTATATCTCTGAAGATTTAAAAAATTTTATTTTGTACCTCTAACGATTTAAAATTATTTTATTTTGTACCTTCATAGATTAAACTTTCTCATAGCATCATTAATCTGTTATAATGTAATCCTTCTGTTATTATATCATTTCTTGTTTTGTCAAATAATAAAATTTTTAACTCATTAATGGTGTAACATGAAAATTTGAATTTGTAAAGTGATATAGTAAAATTTTAAATATTTAGGGTTGTAAAGTAAAATTCGCCTAATATATAAATTATTATTTATTAGGAGGTGAAGGCGATGCCCATGGTCACATTGTTAAAAGCCCACTGACCCATGGTACTATAGGCGGAATGTGAGGCTAAAGTAGCTTTTACAGCATCGAACCATATGGTCCAATCATCTCCTACTTCATTGGAAAAGTGAAAAACATCCCCGTGTTGTGTCAGTTGTTACATTAGCGCAGGCTACTTAATTTTCACATTCTCGTCATCTAATAGGCCCAAGTTTAATGGAACTGACATTTGCAACGTCATAACATCATTAATTAAAAAAAAAATGCACTCTACTCTCTCTCTTTCTCTCTCAATGTGTTAATCGAATTGAACTTAAGTTTAATGCTCCGTTTAATAGAAATGATGAAAAGTATGAGAAATATATTTTTTATTTTTTAAGAAATGAAAGTAGAAATGATACACTTTCCTTCTTTTGTATTTGGTAGGATGGATAAAAATAAAAATGACTAATTTTTTTTTTGTGCTGATTAAAATTAGCGGTGACAATCGAGTTGTATTGTGTTAAATTTGTGTTGAGTCATTACAGGTTTGTGTCGAACATTAGTGAAACCTAATTTAACTTATTTAACTAATTGTGTCGTGTCAAGTTGCAAGTTGACTTGTTTATTTTTGTGTTGTGTTCGTGTTCGTATTCGTATTGACCCACATAAATTTTAAATAAAAAATTTAATCAAGTTTATGTCTAGTTATAATCAAGTCCGTATCATAAAATTTGTGTCAGGTTCGAGTCGTGTTACTATGTTGAGTCGAAAATTTTCACTCCTAACTAAGATGGAAAAAATATTTTTTTAAATTTAAATTTTTTATTTTTATTTTTTTTTGTTAAATTTATGTTTAAAAATTTTTAAAATATATATATATATATATATATATATAATACATATTTTATCATTGAATTTTTACATTAAATTAATATATACATAATATATGTATATATCAAAAGATATATAGACAAATAAGATTTTTTAGGTAAAAAGTTGGCCCACTTTAGAATTTTAAGTCCATGAAAATTATAAGTTCTACAAAAAATTCTTAGTTAAAATTTAAGGTCAATCAAAAATTTTAATTTTAATGATTTTTTAAACTCATGATTCATCCCATAATAATAAAAACCTAAAAAATCAAAATTTTATTAAAAAAAATTGATGGTACACTCAAAAGTCAAGTCATAATTCACCTATCCATTATTAACTACATCTCCTCTCTCTCTCTCTCTCTCTCTCTATAAAGCCCCTTCCTCTCATTTTTATTCTCACTCTTCATATTAATTTCAAATAAAAAAAAATTTTGATTGTTTATTTAACTTAAAAAATAAAATTATTAAATGCTGATAGTTTAAAAAATTTATCTTGATTTCGGATGTTTCTTAATACATAACAATTTTTTCGGCATCGATAGTTTAGATTTATTTTTAAAAATATATTTTGTAAATGAAAGAAAATATTCTAATTGAGACACCAATTTATATAAAAACATTAGATTTTTTCCTTCAAATGTATGCATTTCTTATAGAAAATTATTATTAATTTTTGTAATAGTTACTTCTACAAAAAGAAGTTTTTTAAAATTAAAATCTTATTTAAAATTGACTATCACAAAAAAATAATAATTAGATTAGCGATATTATCAATGAAAAAAAAATATGATAACAAAATTTAAATATAAAAACTCAATTTATACTTTTACAACTCAAAAAATGAAAAGAATTAATTTTAATCAAAATTTTTACACTAAAAATAAAAAGGCCTCAAAATAAATTACCGTTTTAGGTCTCAAATTACCTTGAGTCGTCCCTGCGTTTAGAGCAAGTCGAGTTCAAACCAAATCTTATCTTAACTGAACCCAAGTAGATCGACTTAATTAACAGCCCTATATGACATTTATTAATTGCAGAATTTAGAAAAGGCATCAATATATATTATTTTAAATACAAAAGAATAATATTTAACACTTACCATTCATAGACCGAATAATCTTTACCTATGCACTAAAGCTCTTTCTCATTTATCACGACATCGTCCATGTATAAAACTAGTCACCACAAACTTGTTATGCAGACGAGTAATTAAGGCAATAATATGATATTAAAAAATAATTTTTAATACTATCTATAAAATAAAACGCATAAGAAGTTGAATTTTATTCTTTATACATTTTTTTCCCAATATATTACATTGCTCATTTGTATCATATATTCAATTATTTAATATTTGATTAATTTATTGTTTAACATAATTTTTATTTCATACACTATAATATACACATGTTAAAAAAAATTTATCGAATTATGTGTTTTGAGAAATTTTGTTAATATTTATAAGAAAATAATAGGTAAAAATAAATTTTAAATGATGTAATCAAATAAATGAAAAAAAAAATTTATTATTTAATATACTAAGATTGATTTTTGGGAGCTCGAATTTTATGTTATATCGAGTTTTCAAGCACAAATTATAATTAGGACTCAAATAATCCTAACCTATATATCTTAAATTGAGCAATAATAATTGTTGACTATAAAAATAATAAAATCGTGTGATGAAATAACTTATCATATAGCAAATTTTGTTTGGCTAAAAATCTATATAATAAAGTACAATACAATTTAAATATCAAATGATAAACAAAATAATTTTTGGTTTTCGTGGTTAAAATCTCTTTAAATTTATTTTAAAGTTAATCTGATGGTGAATATTAACCCCTAAATTTAATAGAAAAAAATAGACCTCTGAGAGTGTGTTTGAGTTGATTTTTTAAAAATAATTTTGAAAGTCATAATTTCTCATAAACACTTTAAAAAATATATATGTTTGAAATCGAGTACCACCACCACTATCACTACCACCGCCACCCCCACCAACACAATTATCCCCTATCACGACCACCGATTGCTACAACCATCATCCACCATCACCACTAACTATCATCGTTATTTTATTCTTATATTTATTATCACTATCACTACTACCATCATTTCATTACCACCATTGCCCACTATTAGCCCCTACCACCACCACCCACACTCACCACCACTATCATCGTTACTTATGGTTACCACTATCACCATAATCACCAAAAACCCACCACCACTGTCTTTCATTACCATCACTGCTGTCCCACTACCATTATTATCGTTCACTCACATTATAACTGATGTTTAAATTCATTTCTCTTTCTTTTATATTTGTAATTTGATTTTAAAAATGAATACAAATATTTATTATTGACATTTTTTATTATTTTATGCTTTCAGACACAGATAATAACTAGTAAATTTATAATAGTTAAAAATTACTTTTCTATCACTAAAGTCTAACTCAAGTACTTTTCCTTAAGAACTTGTTTGGATGAATTTTTGAGGAGGGTTTGGATTGATTTTTCTAAATCCTTCTAAATTCAAATTCATCTTTACAAAGATGAGATTTAATATTGAATTCGATCTATACCCATGTCTGATATGTAATACATGCACATATAGGACTCACAAATATATCGTAATTATTAATTATTTGTACTGTGAATGACTATTTTATTTTTAATCAATTCAATTCATATTCATATTAAAAAATATAATTATATTTTGTATCATTACCCATCGATCCCTAAGTTTAACGAAATTTATGATTGTAAAATTTGAAAGTCTTTTAAAGTTTAAACTATTTTTATCAAACGCACGTTGCCACCGCCCCGTACTTTTTTACCAAACATCCTCTAAGTGCCTTTTTTTTTTTTTCAGTCCACCGATGCTTGGGGACACATGCAAAAAACGTGTTTTGTGGGGTGGGGTATGTGCCTTTGATCTTAATTTTAAAGGCGTCTTGTATTTATGAAAAGTTGAATGTGTGGAACAAAGAGTTTATTATTGATCTACCCCAATTATAAAATTTATTTATCATTTTATTATTATTTTTAACTTATTTATCAAATTATCGCTGTTTTAAAAGCGAATTTGACAAATCCGATTTTATGGGGAAAGCGAATTTGGTAAATTCAATTTTATAGAAAAAACGGATATATCAAATTTGATTTCATTTAGAAAGCGGACATACCAAAGGCTTGATGTCTCGGGAGATTATTTCATGTCTGAGTTGCCAAATGAGTTGGGAAATTTGTCTCAGCTAGTAACTTTTAATATTTTATCTAATTTTCTTACTGGGAGGATACCACCCGAAATTCTTGACTCTATATATTTTTTCCTTAAAAAATAAATCACTCATTTTTATTATATATTTAATTATTTAATATTTGATTAATTTATAATTAATATATTTAAAAAAAATTTAATATAGTGAGATCGATTTTTGAATGCTCGAATTTTATATTTTATCGTGTTTTCAAGCACGGATTATAACTAATGAATTTAAATAGAATCTATTAGCGAATTTTTAAAGATTAATAAAGGTGAATAATTGATTCACAAATAATATAGAATCAGAGAGACCAAATGTATTCAATAAATAACCAAATACTCTTTTGGCGATAAACACAATTATACATATAAAAGCTTGCACCTTAGATTTAGTAAGTCTGCTTTTCATATAAAAGCGGATTTGGTATGTCCGTTTTCCCTATAAAATCGGATTTATCAAATTCGCTTTCCAAATGAAATTGAATTTGTCAAATTCGCTTTTCAAATGAAGTCGGATTTGCCAAATTCACTTTTTAAAACAATGGTAGTTTAGTAAATAACTTGAAAACGATAATAAATTGATAAATAAGTTTTATAATTGGGGTAGATTAGTAATAGACTCGTGGAAGAAATGACTCATTTCCATACTCTCAATTTTAAATATATTTTTGTAAATTGAGTCCCACATTTTTTGATTATAATATTAAAAAAAAGGTCTTTAAATAAATGAAGTACGGAAGCATATCTTATAATTGTGTACAATTTAACTTGTTTCAAAATTTATAAATAATTAGGTTAATTAGATTGAAAGTCCTTAAAATATAGAGTTTGTCTCATTTTAGTTCTTAATATTTTAATTACATTATTTTCGTCTTTGAAGTATTGAATTTATTTCTATGTGATCCCTCAAGCAGACAACATTCAAATTACTAATAATTTTTTATCATAAATTTGTCATGTAATATTTAAGTAGGGGTAATTATTGATTAAAAATGTATAATATAGGTAACTATTGACCAAAATTTGGATAATTATAATCAAAATTATATAATTTGGGTAACTCTTTGACTAAAATATGGATAAAAATTTGGTAAAGAGTTATTAAATTTATTTTTTTTAAGATATATTTAGGTATTATATGATAAATTTATAATAAAAAAATTATTAGTAATATGAACTTTGTATACTTGAGGAATTACATAAAAATATATTAAATAATTAAAGAACTAAAATAATATAATTAAAATATTTAGGATCTCTACTGTAATTAATCTTAAATAATTATAATACGATTGAGAGTATTATTGTTGCCCAAAAAGCTATCCACGAGCAACCCTGAGGATGGGCATGGCAGCCACGTTTGGTCCACCACCCAGGCACCATCCCGTGACCACTTTGCTCTTCACCATTACGGAAGGAAGGAATGATTTGTTTTTTTTTTGGCTCGGCAAATAAAGGGTGGGGTCAAAAAAGAGTGTTTAGAGATCACCCTGAGAGGTCTTTAGTAGTGGGGTCATGAAATTTTTGACTATGCCGATTATTTTTATGAACTTAACCAGACTAGCATAGCAGAAAATTATCAAATTCTAATATAAATACTAATACTTGAATTTTCAATTTCAGAATAAGAAATTTAGCCGATACTATCGTTTGACCACCCCAATTGGTGGTAGGAAATGAGTCATTTTGTGACACAGGCCATGAGGTAACGTGCTCATTATTGGGTGATCCAAATCACAATCTTTATTAGTTACCTACTTATATATATATAAATATAAAAGTATAGGATTAGGTTGAGTTTGAGTGGAAGGTGAGACAACAGAAGAATCTTTTATTGGATACAATGGAAGTGGGAGTTTGAAGCACCATATAATTTATATAAAACAATCGCAAATTATTTTCAATTAATTTATCAAACCCAATTGGACAGAGGTAAAGGACTCAAAGCTCTATCCCTTAGTTAGAATTGTTAAGGATGAATTGAATTTTGATCCAAAATGATAGAATATATATTAATATCTTTTATTATTCATCCAAGTTGAGATATGAATTTATTACAACATATTTTTTGAAATGAAAATGCGTTCTATAGAACATTAAAATTCATAACTAATTCAATTAGATTTTTAAATTAAATTTCTATAGCATTGCTCAAAATAAAATTCATGAAAATTTTTAGGGTGGTTCAGTGGTTGAGTTTGGTCTTTTTAAAACTTAGAGATCTTAGATTCAATCTCTTCTCACATTTCTTAAGGGTCACTGTTGTCCTTTAAAAACATGATTTAGCCCATATCAAACCATGGTGGCCAACTGCTGAGCTCATGAGAGTAGTTGACACAAACCTAGACATTGTGTAGCCGAAAAGGGATAAAATATAAATTTAATCTCCAAAACTATGCGTGTAGTGTCTATTTTGTTCCTAAGGTTCCTAATTTTGTATCTATGTGATTCAATCACAAACGTTCATTAAAAAATCATTAACACCTCTGGTCATGCGCAATCACGCCGGACCAAATAGGAATAGATTAAGAACTTTAGAGATCAAATAAACACAAAATAATAAACCACGTGATTAACGCGTAAACAAAATCGTCACAATTTTTCTGACGGACGTTTGAGATTAGACCACATAGATATAAATTAAGAACATTTGGATTCAAATAAACATAACTGAAAGATTAAGAACCAAATAAACACTAAACACGCACTTTTAAGAATTAAAAATATACCAAAAAAAAAGCCATAAAATAAAATTCATGTATATGAATCAAAAGTTTTTAAAATACAATTCAAATCTTATCCATAGACAAGTATGATCATGTTATTTAGGGGGGGGGGGGGGGGGGATGAAAAAGATTCGAACCTTACCCTCTTCATTTTTATTCATACGCTCGTACCATCATGTCTCTTCAATTTTGGTCATATCTTATCTATACTATTGTATATATACAAATGAATACGTCTTGTTCTTATCCATAAAAGAAAGCTCTCTATTCTAATGGATATAATAAGATTGAACAATAGAAAAAAGAGAGGGTGATACAAGCAAAGCAAGTTCACATTGTTTGAATCCACGTAGATTCGGCTTCAACGTTCTGCTAAACTTACACATCCGCACTTCACTCTCACCACCGCGTTATGTTATGTTACATAGAGAGAGACAGAGAGAGAGAGAGAACAGAACAGCACGAGCGCAAGTGGCATTTCTACCTGCTATTGTTTGTTCCTTCTCTCTCTTCATGCATAAAGCCAGAGGGAAAACAATACTGCTAAATATAAACTCAACTGAGTCGGTCTCTCTCTCTCTCTTATCAAATTGTGTGTGATATTGATATGTTTGTTTTTACGGTTTCATTCTCGTCATCTTCGCTCACTTTGTCAGTTTGTTCGTTGATTCACGTGAACTACGAGTGATGGTACTTTTCTTCTGATTTATTTCGCTTTCGAATGTGAATTTAGAATCTGAATCCACAGCACATTCGTGGTTGTCTTCTTCTTCTTCCAGTTTATCTTCTTTCCGATTCTGTGTTTTTGAATGGTGATGGAAGATACCGAGAGTTGTGGAAGCAGAGCTTCGGAATCTTCGCCGAGTCAGAATAGGAAGCGAAGACAGAAGGTTGAGGTTTATCATGAGGTTCTGCGGAGGCTTAGAGATTCGAGCAGTGAAGAGGCGAGTCAACCTGGTTTTGTTGATGAGCTTTGGACTCATTTCAATCGACTTCCACTTAAGTACTCCTTGCTCTACTCAAGCCCTAGCTCTTTCTTGATCAATTTCGTTTTCTCTTTTAATTTTTATTCTCTGTTTGAATTCTGAGAAAACTGATGGAAAAAGGAACCTGAACTTTTATAATTTGAAATTTCTTTTTGCAATTCGCCTTGTGTTCGCAAATCCAGAAAGTTGAGTAAAACACTACGGAAATTAAACTTGATTGGTTAATTTCGCTTTTCCTATTTTAAAGTCTTTTGGTTTCTTCTGTTTGATTGTCATGGGAGCTTGGGGAAGGAGAGAGAAGGAAAAGAAATAAGGAAGCAGCAAAACTCGAAGTTTGTTGATCTTAGTCCTACTCTTTATTTTTTTTTTCTTTTTATCTGATTCATCACAAACTTGACTCTTGCTGCTGTTAGTCCTATTTCAATTTTAAGGATTTGAGTTGGTGAATTGCAAAGAATCATGCATGCCTTAGTGAGTGAGCCGGGTCTTTTCTTGCTTTAACACTACAAGTGTTTAGCATTTCATATATATATTTTTTAATTAATCTAATTTCATATTGCTTGTTGCGATGATATGATTTCACCTAATTGAAGTTCTATAACATTTCCTTCAACGCATAGACCATTTATGATATTCTCTTTGACCATCTTTCTTCGAGGTTAGGTCTTGCAGCGCTATGTCGGGGCTTGTATCGATGAAAGATGCCATACGGTGTTTACCGTGAAATTAAGTTTTGTTTACTTTTCAAGTATCATGAGTTATCCATTTCCTCTGGAACTCAGATTGAGTTATTTGTCACAAGTTCTATTTTCTGGGATACAAAAGGTGGTTTTTGGATTAGGCTTTGGGCATAATGATACCCTTTAGGATTTTGATGGTTGCTATCACTGATCATTTGCGTTTTTTGTTGTAGGTATGCTCTGGATGTGAATGTTGAGACGGCACAAGATGTTTTGATGCACAAAAAGTTGTTGCATATGGCTCATGACTCTACTACCGGACCTGCATTTGATGTGCGCCTTGTGCAGGTAGATCATACAAGGAACTAATTTATTGGAACTCATTTTTCGATTCATAGCCTTTTGTTTTATGCACCTCAAAATTGTTGGGGGTAAGGCTTTGTTGGGTTGAGTCTTTTAGCTTTATGCAGAGTATTTATATAGTTTTTTCTGGATCCTTTTTAAAGGGTAGCTGCATGGTGATTGTTGCCTCAATCTACTCACAGAGAAGGGTGTCTTTTCTATGTTTATTTTTGAAAATTTTCATCTGAATGCATATGTAAGGAAATTAACAAGTAATTCTTCATTCATAAGTTCTATGCAGTGGTTATAATTCTTGGTTGAGCCCACTGATCAAGTGCATCCGGACACATAATTTACAGCCTTGTATTCGAATTATGCTCACTACCATAAGTTTCTTGGTTCTGTGAGTTGTGATGTTTAAAACCGATCCCATGTCTGTATCTGTCTCGCTTGCAAGTTGTTTCGTTGGAGCGTGTTTTCAGTTTCCATTTAAACATTTACTTCTTTATGTGCCACATTTTTTTTCTGCATTCGAGAGAAGATAATGTTTGATCTAACATTTTCCAATCTTTGCCTGTTGATCTAGAGATATATTTTCTCCTAATTTTGTTCCCAGCCAGTTTATGTTCCTTGTTGATATTGGTGGTACATCCCACCATTGTTAGTTTTCTGATAAACTTCATCTTATTGCATCCAACTTGTATTATTTGCAGTTGCTATTAATTTTGTCTTTTACTCCTTTGAGCACCACCTGAAGTGTGTGTCAGCATCCTTAATCGACCAACGGATCTGGACAATTTTTCTCTTATGCAGGTAAATACTGCATCTGATGGAAGTTGTGGTAATTATGCTCATTCAAACTTCGCACGAAAAGGCAATGTTCTAGGTCCTGATTGGCTTGGAAGAAAGAGGCATGTTTATACAAATTTTGATGCATGTTTATACAAATTTTGATCTGAATTATCTCCTTTTCCTCAGCAAAGTTGTCGTGATTCATAAGAATTTTTAACCTATAGGAGTGTTTGTTTCTTTGCTTGTCAGTGTCCATCCACCGCCTGCCTTTAGTTTGTCATCAGGTGCACTTGAAGCCAATAAATCACATGTTCAAGGTGGAAACAGTGCTGAGACAGCCAATCTCCACTTATATCGGTAATATTCTGGTTTTTCCGCCTCATTGAGCTTTCCCTTGATATTTTCTGTTTAACAAATTAGTAACTCTTGATATCCTCATTATTTTGTATAATCAGTCGTTGTGCCAACTTTCAGTGTTCAAATCTCAAGTTTCGCCTTGATCAATACCTTTTGACAACCTTACCAATAGAAAGGGGAAAAATGTACTCAAGCAACCTATCTTACTAATAATCTAATTAAGGGCCCTATCTAAGCCATATCGTTGTAAAGCTATAGCTTGAAAGTCGGCCTTACTTTCTATTATAGTAGTAAAGGCCTTTAGGCTTTTGACTAATAAGATAAAAAGGGCTTTTCTCACTTCTTAGAAGCTTTCCTCGTGTTCATGAGCGCACCCTTCTCATATCAATCGAGGCGAAACTTGAGTTTGATTTCAAGGGCGCGCGTTAGCGTTTTACCAATAAGATAGAAAAGCTTTTGACACTAAGATGAGGTTGATCTCAAATTAGTAGATGATCAAACAAACTAAACTATCTTAATTGTTGTGGTAACATCAGATTGCTTTACGACATCTGAGATTGCATATTGTTTGTGTTATATATTAGCTTCATGAAACTGGTGTGATTAATTCCTAAATTACTGTTTAAGCATTTCCATATTCTCTCATCGCGATTTATGTATTTTTTTAGAGTTCCAAAACTCTTGACAAATTTTGTCCGTAGTATCAAATCATCTTTCTTCCATCACCCCTGAATTTTGAATTTCTTCTGGTCCTTGATTGTACTAAATCTTATGTTTTTCATGTTCACATCTCATACTTGACGCTCCACCGAGTTTTCACTTTGATGGCAAACCAACATGCACAGTGTCTTGTGTACGTGTGAGATATAGAGAGAGGGGGGATCCCTGGAAGGGGGGGGGGGGGAGAATTTTGCAGTTGATGACTTAGTTTTTTGTTAAACAGATATGTGATGGCGACATGTGATACTCTATTGATTACTGAAAGAGTCTTTCAATTTTTCGTTAACATATTACGGTATTCTATTGATTCTGGATGGTTCTGTCAGTTCATCAAGTTACATAATAGTTTTAAACTTTTGTAGGCCTTTGCATGAAATAACAATTTCAACAAAGGACAAGCCAAAACTCCTAAGTCAGGTATTTGATTACGTGTGAAATACTTTTGGATGCTTTGAAGTTATTGGTGGATTTGCCTGCATATTATCTGTGACATATCAGTCATTTCCCTGAATTCATCTGATTTCGTGACTTTTTCCTGGCCTTACTCCTTGTCATTTATAGGGCAGCCACATTGGTATCAGTTATAAGTTTTGTCATTCTGATTATAGTTTTATTGAGAAGTAATAAGGCTTGTTAAACTATGGTGAAACATTTTATTTAACATGTATGATAAATTTAATTACTAGATTATTGGATTGTCTTGCAATCTGTTATGATGTTGTTGCTTTACTTTTGGTATGGATGCATTATTAGAAATCAAAATTCGAAGCGAAAGGGCCCTCTAATATCATTTGGTGCAACTATGGGATCTTGTTTATAGATGCTGTAACGATGTCCTTTCATTTGACCTTTTTAAGCCATGAAATGTCTTTTCATTTGACCTTTTAAGTCGTGAAATGTCTTTTCATTTGACCTTTTTAAGTCGTGATTATCTTGTTGAATGATATACTAAATAGTACTGCCAAACAACAATCTACTCCAAAAAGTTTAAGATATTAGAGAGGGTGTAATTTAAGTATTTATACTTCAACACGCCACCTTATAGACAACTTAGATTTTGGGCCTAGCACATATAAATCTTATAATAATTATAGTGGTGGCGAGATTCAAATGTAAGACCTTTTGTTTTGGTATCATGTTAAACAACCATCTACTCAAAAAGCTTGACCTGTTAGAGAGGATGTAACTTAGGTATTTATACTTCAACACCCCCTTCACTTGTTGGTAGAATCTCCTGCTTTGATACCATGTTAAATAACCAACTACTCCAAAAAGTTTAAGTTATCAGAGAGAGTGTAATTTGAGTATTTTTACTAAAACAAATACTATGCCACCGTTGCTCACCATCATTTCTGTATCTTATATGAAGAGTCATAAAGTTAGTTGGAATTAGTAATTACTTTTATACAAATAATTCTTACTCATTGAAGGTGGCTTTGATGCATTCAATAAATTCTAGTTTGCACTTTTCTATTCCCTTATCCTAGCAAGTTCATGTATCTTTTTGTGTCATTCATGACTCATGCAAGTTTTAATATTTTTCGGAGAGGACTATAATTATTGCTTTTTATGGAGTCCCAAGTTCTGAGCATCCATCNATGACTTAGTTTTTTGTTAAACAGATATGTGATGGCGACATGTGATACTCTATTGATTACTGAAAGAGTCTTTCAATTTTTCGTTAACATATTACGGTATTCTATTGATTCTGGATGGTTCTGTCAGTTCATCAAGTTACATAATAGTTTTAAACTTTTGTAGGCCTTTGCATGAAATAACAATTTCAACAAAGGACAAGCCAAAACTCCTAAGTCAGGTATTTGATTACGTGTGAAATACTTTTGGATGCTTTGAAGTTATTGGTGGATTTGCCTGCATATTATCTGTGACATATCAGTCATTTCCCTGAATTCATCTGATTTCGTGACTTTTTCCTGGCCTTACTCCTTGTCATTTATAGGGCAGCCACATTGGTATCAGTTATAAGTTTTGTCATTCTGATTATAGTTTTATTGAGAAGTAATAAGGCTTGTTAAACTATGGTGAAACATTTTATTTAACATGTATGATAAATTTAATTACTAGATTATTGGATTGTCTTGCAATCTGTTATGATGTTGTTGCTTTACTTTTGGTATGGATGCATTATTAGAAATCAAAATTCGAAGCGAAAGGGCCCTCTAATATCATTTGGTGCAACTATGGGATCTTGTTTATAGATGCTGTAACGATGTCCTTTCATTTGACCTTTTTAAGCCATGAAATGTCTTTTCATTTGACCTTTTAAGTCGTGAAATGTCTTTTCATTTGACCTTTTTAAGTCGTGATTATCTTGTTGAATGATATACTAAATAGTACTGCCAAACAACAATCTACTCCAAAAAGTTTAAGATATTAGAGAGGGTGTAATTTAAGTATTTATACTTCAACACGCCACCTTATAGACAACTTAGATTTTGGGCCTAGCACATATAAATCTTATAATAATTATAGTGGTGGCGAGATTCAAATGTAAGACCTTTTGTTTTGGTATCATGTTAAACAACCATCTACTCAAAAAGCTTGACCTGTTAGAGAGGATGTAACTTAGGTATTTATACTTCAACACCCCCTTCACTTGTTGGTAGAATCTCCTGCTTTGATACCATGTTAAATAACCAACTACTCCAAAAAGTTTAAGTTATCAGAGAGAGTGTAATTTGAGTATTTTTACTAAAACAAATACTATGCCACCGTTGCTCACCATCATTTCTGTATCTTATATGAAGAGTCATAAAGTTAGTTGGAATTAGTAATTACTTTTATACAAATAATTCTTACTCATTGAAGGTGGCTTTGATGCATTCAATAAATTCTAGTTTGCACTTTTCTATTCCCTTATCCTAGCAAGTTCATGTATCTTTTTGTGTCATTCATGACTCATGCAAGTTTTAATATTTTTCGGAGAGGACTATAATTATTGCTTTTTATGGAGTCCCAAGTTCTGAGCATCCATCTATGCCAATGGAGTCTCATGTTCTAAGTATCGATCTCTGAATTTGTGAGGAAATATTGGATCTGAAAACTGCCACTCTATTTTTCCTTTGTAATTAGTTTCTTGATCTACTTCCTAAAGTTCATATATGTAAAAATTTCAGTTAACGTCCTTACTTTCTGAGATTGGGCTGAACATTCAAGAAGCTCATGCCTTTTCCACAACAGATGGCTACTCCTTGGATGTCTTCGTTGTTGATGGTTGGGCATCTGAGGTATTTGCTCTTTTCATTTTTTCACAGTGCCATAATGAATTTGTGGTCCATGCATTTGTTTGCCTATTTTGAAGAAAAAATTGTATGTTATTGCTTTCCATGACTCGTTATATCATAGGCATCTCTATGTCCTCATTAAGGTATGTGTTTGTCATTTACTTTAAATTGTAAATAGTTAGCTGATAATTCCATTCAAACTGCAATGTCATGTATAGATACTTGGCTTTGCGATGGGGAATGCAGCTATCTGATTTGTAGTAACTGATTAGCAAGAGTCTCTCAAACTGCCAACAGGATACATCTTCATCGGGTTGGCTATCGTCATGTTCAATAGTTTGGAAGTTTTGTGACTAGTATTTTTCCTGGAAAATCCCTTATAAACTATGGTGCAGGATGCCCATAAAGTTTGGTGTTTGAAAGGAAAGGACAAGGAAACTCCATATTGGTGGATCAGCCTAAGTGTTGAATGAAGCATTCAATGAATAGTTAAGCATTAGGTAACCTATGGAATGTCTTGTTCTATAAACTTTTTATTTGCAAATATGTTAGGATAACATCAACAGTCGATCTACTTTATCTTGGTATTTGAAAACGGGAATACTGTATTTCGGCAGGGATTGGAAGACTGGTGGAAATATAGTGGTTGCTATCCAGTATGACTATTGCTTCAGCGTGGGGAATACTAATGTACTTCCAAGTGATTTAATGTTGATGTCCATGGAATTCTAGGTTAACATTTTGTATCCATATATGTTAAATGGTCATTTCTCTCTATTCTTTGCACCTACTTTGTAAACTTGCCTTGTGTTCTCATTTACCTTTATGGTGTGATTGATTAGTATCTTCTCTATTTTTCTGCCTGACGTTATATTATTGGCTGTGAAACTTAGTTTTTTGTTATTTTCTTGAAGAAAATTAAAGAATCCTGTTGGAAAATTTGGAGTTCTTGTGTCTCATCCTGATTCAGTTGAAATGGTTAACCGTCCCCCTTACTGTGAATTTCTAGGCAACCGAACAGCTCAAAAATATACTGGCGGAGGAAATTCCAAAGGTTGAGGTAGCCCATCTGCATGCAACTTATTAGTTACAATGTAAGATTTGCCATTTATCCAGATCTTAAATTTTGAAGCTCGATGCAGAACCAATCTGTGTCAAAACAATTTTCTGTACCTCTGGAGGTGGACTCCAGGCAAATCGGGATCAAACTTCTCCCAAACCAAGTTAACATACCAACTGATGGGACTGATGTCTGGGAAATTGATGCCAAGCTGTTGACATTTGAGGAAAAAATTGCTTCTGGATCAAATGGAAATTTGTGAGTTTTATGATAGGTTCAGCCTGCAAATTGAGTGACATTAGAGTTTGTATAATATCATTTTTCATTGACACAGGTACAAGGGTACCTTTCGTAGTCAGGATGTGGCTATCAAAGTTTTCAAGTCTGAGTACTTAAATGAAGATGTACAAAAGGAGTTTGCTCAAGAAGTATTTATATTAAGGTTTGTTACACTGTACGCATGTGATTTCCTTTGACTATGCTTTACTTTTTAAATATATACATTCTAAGAACAGGATTTGTAAAAGGGCTTGTTTTGCCATGATGGGAGCTAAACTTCTCAATCACTGATCATTTCCATCAATTCCACTGTTGAGGTGTAACTGTCTTTTTATGGATGTGTAGGGTGCTGGGTGCACTTATTTCATCCAGATAGGAGTTGTTGTCCGGGTGAAAACATCTGGGCTATGCCCTTGAAGTCTGATGAGACACTGTTTATGAAAACGATTTGATTTTACTTGTTCCATGGTCCACTGGACGAGTCTTATTATATAGAAAGGCCCAAACTGCTGTCCTTTATAACCGGGAAATCTGCATTAACCGAAATTCTACTTTATAATCTTCCCATTTAAATCATTCGTGTGCTGCTGATACAAATTTTAATATCCTCTTAATACTAAAATCATGAGTAAAAGTAATGGATTGGGTCAATTATACACGAGTTCGATCAATGGTGTACTACTCTTTAGACATATTCGGCATGTCATGCAATTTATATTAATGAGATTTGTTTACCTTATGCCATCCATGGTTGTAGGACTTTCTTGATTTATGTTTTTGTGATATATGTAGAGGAAATGTCTTCCTTGTCCTGTTCTACTAAATGTCTTCTGTTCATACATAGACACGCCTTCTGTTGAGGAAAACGGTAAATCTATTATTGTACTTTATTAGCTAGGCATCTATCTTTTGACATGCTCTTTGCCTATAATTATTTTTAATGGAAATTGCTTGATTCTGTTCATCTTACCTAGTCTCTCTGACCTCTTTTGGAGACTTACAGGAAAGTTCGGCACAAGAATGTCGTGCAATTTATTGGTGCATGTACAAGACCTCCAAGCTTATGTATCGTGACTGGTAATTCTTAATTACTACTGGAGCATGTCTAGTGCCATCTGCAGTATATTTGTTTTTTGAGCAATTCATTTCCTAACTTCTTGTTTTTGTTTCCTATGAATTCAAAAATCTTGCACGTTTGCTTATTTTTATTGGATTCCCTTTTCCAGAGTTTATGTCCGGTGGAAGTGTATATGACTATCTGCATAAACAAAAAGGCATTTTCAAGCTCCCTTCAATTCTTAAAGTTGCAATTGATGTTTCAATGGGAATGAACTATTTGCACCAAAATAATATAATCCACAGGGACCTCAAGGCTGCCAATCTTTTGATGGACGAAAATGAAGTAAGATATATCAGTTCTGCTGCACATGTTATTTAATTTGCTATCCATTATTATGCACTTGGTGTTAAACTTGAAAGTCTTACCCTTCCGAAACTATGTTTCACCAAGCCCACCATTAGACTGAATACCCCTCGCATGCGCTTCATGCATGTCAGATTCCGCTTCTTTAAATACTGATAGCTCCATGATTAATGAGCAATTCTGTTCCCCCACTCCTCCTTCCTGTATATAATATGATTTTGGGGAAGCTTGACAGGAGACACAAGTAATCCAGTGATGGGCTTGGAAGCGTGGGCTCCACAAATAGTTGATGAGGATGTGGTAGTAATCGTTCTTATACCAGCTGTAATTTGTCCATATAAACAGAGGTTGTATAACAAATCGAGTAATTAGGGACACCCACGGTTGGTGAATATGATCGAGGGGCTTCGCCATTTATCACCAATCGGTTTTAGGTTGGATACCTCTAACTCAGGAAGCACGGATACGGACACGGGGATACAATAAAATTAAAAAATATGGGATACGGGTACGGTAAGGATACGGTTATTAAAATAATATAATATATTTTTAAATAATAATAGAGTTGTAATATATTAAAAATAAAACATATATTATAACAATATTAATAATAAGACCTAGCAAATATTATTTTTTTGATTAAAATTGAAATAGATCAAATTAAATATTCACTATTTTCATTAACATCATTGCATCTATTAATATTTATAGTATATACGTTACGTAACAAAAAATATATTAAAAAAAGTAAATTATAAATAGTTAAAAGTTGTTTTTTTTTAGTAAAAAAATTCTTGGTCGTATCCTAGACGTATCGTGGCCGTGTCCGCCTGAGTTCACTATTTAAGACATTTCTAGTCGTGTTAGACATGTATCCGTGTCGGACACGTGTCCAATACTGCCACGGCACCCCCGTGAGAAGTATCCGTGTTTCCTAGCGTCTAACATGGTTTTAGATTTGGGGCTTGAGCAATCAAGTGCCAAGTTTCTCACCATTTGAGTTTATCGATACGCATTTGGTCTATTTGTTTGTCATCCCATGTATAAGTCCGGGTCCCAAGTGAGTGATAGACGGATAGTGTAAAGAAAGCTTGTGTTCTATAACTAAATATTAGAGCCACCCCATTTAGTTTATATGATTGAGACTCCTGTCCACTCATTGCCAATTTGTTTTGAGGGGGATGTTCTAACGGTGCCAGCTATGACTTGTATTTGTCACATAGCAATCATGTTAATGACGTGGCTCAATTGCGGGTTGATGGCAAGGTATTAGTTACCACTCTGTGTACTCTCCTGTTTCAATTCAACTTAGACATTCTTTTGTGGTTTTATTGTCTCTGTTGGAAATATATATAGGGTAAGAGAGTTGCCATTGGTTGAAATAGATCACGTTGCTCCTGAGGATTCATCCTCCTTTTTTTGGCTTATTTAAACAAAAATAAAAAGGGTTTTATCTTCATTTTTCAAATTCTTGTGTATGTGTCATGATATGTTATTGTAACAGGAGCATTATCGAATTCGTATGAATATGGACAAACAGCTTTGTTTGATTTTCAATTGGTTAACACACAACCTGCTGGACAGGTTGTCAAGATTGCTGATTTCGGTGTTGCCAGAGTGCGAGCTCAGTCTGGAGTGATGACTGCAGAAACAGGAACGTATCGCTGGATGGCTCCAGAGGTTAATGTTTTCTAGATGCACACTTGTGAATTTAAACCATCTAAATTACCTTTTTACAAGTTACAATTNTCATTAACATCATTGCATCTATTAATATTTATAGTATATACGTTACGTAACAAAAAATATATTAAAAAAAGTAAATTATAAATAGTTAAAAGTTGTTTTTTTTTAGTAAAAAAATTCTTGGTCGTATCCTAGACGTATCGTGGCCGTGTCCGCCTGAGTTCACTATTTAAGACATTTCTAGTCGTGTTAGACATGTATCCGTGTCGGACACGTGTCCAATACTGCCACGGCACCCCCGTGAGAAGTATCCGTGTTTCCTAGCGTCTAACATGGTTTTAGATTTGGGGCTTGAGCAATCAAGTGCCAAGTTTCTCACCATTTGAGTTTATCGATACGCATTTGGTCTATTTGTTTGTCATCCCATGTATAAGTCCGGGTCCCAAGTGAGTGATAGACGGATAGTGTAAAGAAAGCTTGTGTTCTATAACTAAATATTAGAGCCACCCCATTTAGTTTATATGATTGAGACTCCTGTCCACTCATTGCCAATTTGTTTTGAGGGGGATGTTCTAACGGTGCCAGCTATGACTTGTATTTGTCACATAGCAATCATGTTAATGACGTGGCTCAATTGCGGGTTGATGGCAAGGTATTAGTTACCACTCTGTGTACTCTCCTGTTTCAATTCAACTTAGACATTCTTTTGTGGTTTTATTGTCTCTGTTGGAAATATATATAGGGTAAGAGAGTTGCCATTGGTTGAAATAGATCACGTTGCTCCTGAGGATTCATCCTCCTTTTTTTGGCTTATTTAAACAAAAATAAAAAGGGTTTTATCTTCATTTTTCAAATTCTTGTGTATGTGTCATGATATGTTATTGTAACAGGAGCATTATCGAATTCGTATGAATATGGACAAACAGCTTTGTTTGATTTTCAATTGGTTAACACACAACCTGCTGGACAGGTTGTCAAGATTGCTGATTTCGGTGTTGCCAGAGTGCGAGCTCAGTCTGGAGTGATGACTGCAGAAACAGGAACGTATCGCTGGATGGCTCCAGAGGTTAATGTTTTCTAGATGCACACTTGTGAATTTAAACCATCTAAATTACCTTTTTACAAGTTACAATTGTGGCACATTGAGGTTTGATCAGCAATTGATTTTTAAAGTCCTTTACCTGTACAATTGAAGCCCTGAAATTCCTGCTAATTCAGTTAATCCATGGCAACTGAACTGAACTGTTGTTTTCCCAACCTAATGAATTCCAGTTGTCTTATAACAAGTGTAAAACAACATATGCGCCATAAGATGGTTTACCACTTGCTCTGACTTGTTTTTCTTGTTTTTATGTTTGAAAGGTTATCGAACACAGGCCATATGACCACAAGGCTGATGTTTTCAGTTTCGGAATTGTATTATGGGAACTGCTAACTGGAAAGGTTCTACTATGTTGTGTGTTAGATTGTTACATCATTGGATTGTGAATTTACAGAGTCCAATGTTCCAATAGTTTTCTTATTTTGACTGATATGCCAGCTTCCTTATGCGCACTTGACCCCATTACAGGCTGCAGTTGGTGTGGTCCAGAAGGTATTTCCCCTTAAAACCGTAGACTTTGTTATTTACCCTTAAATTGCCTGCACTGAACGTGGGTCATGTTAAATTTCCCTTTGTTTTTCTTCCGCTTGACTCGTGGGGAGTGGTCCTTTTCGAATTTGGTACATTTGTTTACAGTAAAGAGCATTGCTAATACTATACCGACTTTAACTGTAGTTCTGAATCCTGTAAGGGCCTGTTTGGTATGTGGATTTTGGGGGGGGGGGGTGTTTGGAACATCGGTTGGGGAATAAATTTCTTCAAACCCTTGTTTGACAAATACACATATAGTCTAGGGTTTGAAATCTGGTCTGATTTAGGCTCGGTCATGAAACCCAAAGGGGGGGGGGGGGGTTTATATGTGGATTAGTGGGTTTAACATGTAAATGATATTTATACCTTCATATATTCCATATATACAAATTGATTAAGGGGCATAATAATCATTTATATACAAATATATTATCATAACAGTCATATATTCCTGCGCATACCAAACATGGGTATAGATAACATTAAATGTTAAATCTCATATTTGAATCCCATTTTTGGGTTTGGAAGGGTTTGAACAAGCCAATTCAAACCCTTTCCAAAAAACATACCAAACAGTTCTAGATGGCTTGCGTTTGTGAAATTTGCAATGTCCACAGATGGTATTTTTGGGCGTCCTGTTGAAATATTGTCCCAGAAAGTCAATTTAGTTTGGCACTAACGTAATCCTTCTCTGTTAATGCCCCTCTTTCTTTCTCTCCCGTTTCTCTACTTTCCTCTTTCTCTAGTTTTGTGTGCATGTGGGTTTTTTTTGGTTGACGCGGTGGGGATTAAGACAGGTTTTCCTTGATCTGAACTTTAGGGCCTAAGGCCTACAATACCAAAGCACACACATCCAAAGATAGTGGAATTGCTTGAGAAATGTTGGCAGCAAGATCCATATTTGAGGCCTGAATTTTCCGAAATTATTGAGATCTTGCAAGACATGGCCAAGACGGTATGAAAGTTCTGAGACATTTTCAGCTTTCTTCTACTCTTCATTTTTAAGAGTAACTTTTCCAAGCATCTCTTAATTGTCGAAACAGGTTGTGGAAGAAGAGAGGGCTAGCAAAAGAAGGACCCAACTAGGAGAACCTTGTTAGCTCACAGATGGGCGGTTGAGTATAGAGGCACGACACATGAGTGAGAATGCTTTCTGCTGTTACTGTTTCTGCATAAGCGTAGGTGGACCCATCTCCATCTCCATCTCCATGGAATTGGCCCTGCTGAAATTTTTGAAAGTCATGGTGGGTTTACTAAATTTAAGTTCGAAATTGTTTTCGTAGTTGGCCACCAGTAGCTCTTGGAAAATTAATATAGGGGTCAGACAGTCTTGGACATTAAAATGCCATGTTATGGTTTCGAAAATGGGCTCGAAGACAGACTTAAAGAATGTTGATTTGGTCATTTCACCGGACTTGATTGTAAAGGCAAAGATCAAAATTTTGTTTTATAACAGTAGAAACGTTTTCGTTTTCAACGAAATTAAAACGAATCAATGATATAATCAAAATTTAAATATTTTGAAGTGTTTCATGATGTTTTGAGGTATTTTGTAATGTTTTAATATATTTGTACAATTATTTTAGAATGATTCAAGATATTTTAAGATATTTTGGTATAATTCAATCAATATTTTAGAAAAATAATTCTTAAATTTTTTATTTTTTTTTGAAACTGGTCGAAACACGTCAAAATATTTTCTCTTTCTAGGTGATTGAAACAATGTATCGAAACAAAATTTTGATCATTGTTATCTTTTAAGGTGAAGTTAAAACTTTTTTGAGATATAAGTTACAATTTTTAAAAATTATGATTGATCATGATAAATTGAGATTGATATTGAAGTTACAACTCATAAGCGAAAAATTATAACTGTTTAAGGGAAGTTCATAATTGATCATGTATATTTGTGATCGATCATGTAGTTGTAACTTCTCCCTTTTAAAGTTGTAATTTTACCATAAAAGTAGTTAGTGGTGATACGATACTGAATTTTTTTATTCAACAACATAGCCTTTTCCCTTTTTCAGACTTTTATACATATTAGTGATAACTCGTGCGCGAAGGCACTCTGTGTTTCAAAAAAATCAGTGAACTCAAAAAAAATTAAACATTGAACATGCACACACCTTAAGTTAAAAGCCTAAATTGTATCCTTACACACATGCACTTTGTATACATGCTCAACAAAGTATTACCAATATCAAAATTATCGTGAAGACAAATTTCAAGGAAGAAATGGAAAAAACCTAGTTTCAATAATCAAAGTCTCATAAATTTAAACTGATAAAAGCATAAAATTTATATGTTTGAAACTATATATCTCTTTAGAACTAACAATAGTGCTTAGAAATGTTTAATCGAAAGTCAACTTACATGGATTTTGAAAACCTATATTATTAGAAAAAATGTTCGTGTTTGAAGACACTATATTGTGCTAAATAAAAAATGGTCAATATTAAATCAAAACATATTTTTTGTTTATTTAAAAAATTTGGACAAACTTCCCCTTAAAAACAGGACCCTAGAAAATATAAAATTGCGTAGACAACCTATAAAACACTAATTACACAATCCACTCCCTATAAAATACAATTTAAATAAAATAACTGTGAACTATTAAGTTTAATTGCACCAATGCAAACAATTTGTGTTGTCTTCTCTAAGTCAAGAGCCACAAATCAATCAACACTACCTATACAAAGGATCATGTAAATTGTATGTGGTTAACATAAAATTGTGTAGTCCTCACTATTTTCTCAAAAATTTAAAAAACGATCCATAAAATTTTTTAGTCCTAGACAACTTCAATCACACAACGAAACAACATAAACTACTTCTAAATCAATCTCTAATTCAATAAATCAACAAAAATCACATTACAATTATATAAAAATTATTGAATTAGTAATTTACTCAATGTTAATTGTTCCCAAAAAATAAAGTCAGTCCCAAATCTAAAAATTAATTAGCAAGAATGAATGAGTTGATATAAATTTCAATTTTGAGAACATTTATTGGGGGAAATGCATGAGGGTATCTAATTGGGACAAATTGAACAAATTGGGTGCAAGTGTTGTGTGTGTGCAGGTGTTTTTGTGTGTTGTGTGTGGGGGTGTGGGTGTGTGTATGGGTGTTTTTGATTGTTGTGTGGGTGGGTGTGGGTACACCGTGTAATACTCAAAATATTAAAAATTTGGACAGAGTTTCCTTTAAAAATATGATTAAAGAATAATTGCAACGTGTACATGCAATACAATAACCATCACCCTACATTCCCACCTAAACACAACCATAAATGAATTCCATAACACATGAATGAATTTCATAATCACGTGAAGGGATGTGTATGAAGGCCAACAACTATTTAAAAAAAAAATTGAAGGAAAATTTTATTTTTGTAGGGTTAAGAAGTCTTTCATTCCACATACCAAATGATTCAGAAGACTATACAATCTTAGGTTTCATTAAAAAATCACTTGAAATTGATGAATCATCAATTTGAGGCATGAGAAAAGATGATAGCAACGCAACTAAGCCTCTATACAAAATATTTTGGGCTAACAGTGCAACTAAGTAAATTTTTGTTAATTACCAACCACATCATCAAAATCCAATACTTCATTTAGACCCTAAATTGTTCTTGAAAATTAAGAGGTAAGTTTTGGTAATTTATACCTAGGAAAGCTTGAGTTTTTACTCCATTGGTCAAAGCAAATAAATGAAAATCGATCCTGAGAAATAAAAAATTAATAAGCATAACTCTCAAGTAAGTGAATACGTTAAAAAAAATACATATACATGTTTAACTGCGGGCTCAATAAGGAAACCATTCCTAATTTCAAAGTCGTAATCTCTTAAGTTCAAGCAAAAAAGTTCAATTGATATAAATAATTTCCAATTATATAATTAGAAACAGAAATTAATAAGCACAACTTTCAAGCAATTGAATACATTAGAAAGAACCCATAAAGGTGTTTAACTGCAGGTCCAATAGCATAAAAGTTGTCCCAATACAATTCTTTATAGATGTTTTTGTGATTATAGACAAACACACATAAGCTACTCTTTGACACATTTTCCACAATAACTTTGAGGGAGTGTGTGTGGATACATGAAAATATTACATTTAAACAATGTATGACACAAATTTATGATAAAGAAAGAGATGTAACCTGAAGATGGCTTAACAAATGAAGGGAAAGGGGGGGGGGGGGGGGNGGGGGGGGGGGGGGGGGGGGGGGGGGGGGGGGGGGGGGGGGGGGGGGGGGGGGGGGGGGGGGGGGGGGGGGGGGGGGGGGGGGGGGGGGGGGGGGGGGGGGGGGGGGGGAGGGGGGGGGGGGGGGGGGGGGGGGGGGGAGAGAGAGAGAGAGAAGGCGAGAAGGGGAGGATAGGTCTTTGACATTGAGGGATGGTGACAGAGAAAATTGGAAGTGATGACATTTGGGAAAAAATATTAAGGGATAAAATTTTAATTTTTTGGCTATTGGATGAGTTTATTTTAGACCGTTAAATGAACTTATTGAAGTCTGACTGTTTTATATTATAGATAATAAAAAATCACAATAGAAATCAATGTGAATTAGTTTGGTGAATTAAATTTATTCAATGTGAATCAATGTGAATTGAGTGAATGAAGATAACCGAAAAGCCAATTTGGTGAGTAAATTAATTACCAATACATAAAAAATGATCAGGACAACATACCAGTTGAATAAGTTAATTTTCTTTTCTAGTAGAACTATCAGTTTTTTCTTTCCCCTTCATCAAAGATGGACCGACACTGAGGTTGTTTAAGTGATTCACATTTGTATTCGCCTAAAAAGTACAAAATAAGGTATTAGTCAGAAAATACACACTGAAATCAAAATAAAAATTTTGACAATACCAGTAGCATGACCTTGTCCATACGCAATTTATTGAGCGCACGTTCAGACAAAACATTGACATGTATATCATTGCTCTCAATTAGATCAACTTGTAAAAGCAGTCTTAATAAATTGAATTGTAGGCATAATGAAATTTATAAAATGTAGGCGCAATGAAATTAAAAAAGAAGAATACCTTACATATTTCGAAGGAAAAGTGCCTTACATATATCGAAGGAAAAGAAGAAGAATAACTGAAAGTTTAAAAATGATGAAGAGTTTCCTCAATAGTGATGACCCAGGAAATAAAGTCACGCTTTACATTCCCTTCCCCTATTTTTCAATGTCGTTTCCAAAACTAAGAACAAAAATGATACCCGACGGGTTTTCTAAATGGTTTTTAAGTTTTTCTTTTAATGATAAGTAAAAATAATAAAAAAATTAATACATTTGCAAAACTGGAATTTGAATTAAAATGTCATCGAAGAACTAATTACCAACTGTAATAGTAATCAACCCACTGTTTCAGCCAATATCAAGACAATCCTTGCCTTCGAACCACTCCTTCTTCAATGCCTTCAACCTTTAATCCTCCTCCAACTTCTGACTAATCTAGAATAAAACCCCCAATAAACCCTTAAAACCCAAACACCCATAAAAAAAAGAATACGTAGAAGAATAATTGAACCAACTGCTAGGCTAATTGAACCAATGAAATTTACCAATTGCAAATAAGCTCACTAAGACACTTAGTTTACTTGTATAAAACCCGAAATTATCTACAACTGTTAGGCTAGGCTAGGGTATCCTTGTGCAAAACAAGTTTTTTTTAATCGTGGTTAAAAGATTAAATATAAAGAAACTTAATTATTGTGTTTAAAACATTAATGTGATTGTGCGGCAAAATAAATTATAACATAATTAATTCAATTATTGAAGTGAGATGCTTCCATGAACCATTACGGGAGGAAAATCTAGGATAATTTAAAAAAATATATATATATCTATATATATAAGAAAAAATGTACAAAATGAACCAGATTTAAAAGACTCGAGCAATTAGAGAGAAATCCCTAGTGTGACTAGAAAGTACAATTAATTCAGCCACCAGAATACAATGCTACAGTAACCAAATTTTTTTTTTGGGTATTGTATTGCCATGTACAACTTCTCAAGAGTTTTGTAGAATTTTAATTTTTTGAGGTTTTACGATCAATGGGTTACAAACCCTCCAAAATTATAATTTGAACTATAAAAGTTGTAACATGATCCCAAAACTTATAAATTTTTGGGTAAAAATCAGAGGTAGTCCCTATACTCTATTTTTGGTTTTAATTTAGTCGCTGAATTTTTAATTGTCTCAATTTAGTCCCTTGACTATTAATTTTGTCTCAATTAGTCATTTCGTCCATTTCCAACTTTAAATCAATGTTAAATTAAGTACAATTGAAAACTCGGCAATAAATTAAAACTAAAGGCAAAATCTAAAGATCAATTATAATTTTTTTTTCTTATAAGGCCAAAACTCTCTCCAATTCTTGACTCAAACTTTTTTGCAAGGAACTTTGTAAGTGTTTAACTTTCATTCAATTTCTTTATGAATGAATTCTAACATGTATTATTACAGATTCCAATTTACCTGTGAAAAGTTTC